AGGGCTGAAACAGGAACTGGAGCTGAAATCTGAAGCAAGTAAATTCCTTTACTAGGCACTGATGGACACTGTTGTGTTTCTCTTGGCCTTGGCGGAGGCTTTTAGGTCACTGGGTTTTGGATGTTACAGCAGATGAAAATCTTAGAACCGCAGAAACTTCAAAAATGACAAATAGCTCGAATCTCTCCCCCATCCTCAAAAAAAGAAAAAAGCCTAATGATACTTCTCTAAAAAGAGTCGAACCTTTTTATGAGACCTGTTGCCAATATTAGTGCCACCGAATGATCTCATCTTTCATTCTGGCTAAATTCCAACACACAATTTCATTAACCCAGGTACTGCAGGTGATAAAACTCATTTTTCCCTAAAGAGACAGCTAAAAAGTACCAGTTATACATTTATGAAGTACCAGCAATCAAAATTATGGATTTTCTAAAAGGTTTTTAACTACTTTTATTGAAAGGAAAATCGCTGTCTCAGACTTTTGTGACACTATTGCTAATAATAAATTTTACCATTTAGACATCGCAGTAATACGGTAGACAGTGTCAATAAAAGTATGAAACAAAGATGATCCTTGTCTCTTAAGTAATGCTTTCTGATTGCACACCGGAAATTATAACGTGAAACATAAACTAAGAGCACCTTAAGGTATAAAGCGCAGTAACGCAAGACGATGGGCCTCGCGCCGCGCGCAGACACGTCTCACCGCACGCAGCCGCTCCGGGGGAAGCCGAACGCTCACCCCGAGAGAAAAAAATGTTTATATATACGTGTGAAACGAAAAATGAGGGGAGTCGGAGCTGGCTGGCCGTGACGGGGGGGCTTCCGATGCTCCTTTCGGGTGGCAGAGCCTGCCGAGTCCCTGCCCGGAGCAGCGTCCCCGGCAGCACTAGAGGGCACTGTGGGATTTGGGCCGCCCCGCCGCCCGCCCGGCTCCCCGGCCCGGCCACCGGGGTTAACCGGGAGGTCGTGGAAAAGAAAACGGGGACGTCGAACGGCAATTCCAAATAACGCGGCGGGCTGGGGGAAATCCGAGCGAGCGATCGCAGGCCCCGAGCGCCCAAGGGGGTCCCCTGCGGGAGCGGGCCGGGCAGCACCGCGGCCCTGCAGCCGAGGCGCCTCGCTGGGCCCGCCGGGGATCGAGGGATCCCCAAAACCCCATCTCCAGGGCAGCCTTTTCCCTGCCCTCGCTGCCGTTGGATGGAAGAGCCTCTGCTGTGCTAACTGCAGATGATTTCACTGCGGAACATTCTGACATGCAAATGATAGCAATTAATGCCTTTGAAACAATTTATGATTTCCGGCCTACTTCAACATGTATTAGCATATACCTGGTTTCTTTAATATACACTTTGTTTTTCCAAAACCACAAACATAGTTGCTGGAATTTCATGTGGAAGTGCTTAAGGGGTTGAAAGTTAACACCTTTGTGAGCCGAGCAGTCTCACAGTTGCTGCTAAACAAAAGCCTCTTTGTAGCAGCTTTCTCGAAATGTTTTCTTAACATGTTCCAAGTAGTTTTAGGCAGGCAACTAAAGTAAACAAGATGTTACCATGATAAAAACACTTGTGAAAACATTACAGAGTGCACTTAGTAGTTTCTTTCACATAAACTCCCCTTCCTTTCATCAAAGTTAAATGCAGATTACCAGCATCACTGCAATACAGGATTGCAAGATCTCTCCAAAGGCCTGTGTCCCTTTTTTAAAGAATATATTTGATTTTAAAATGGTACAGCCATGATTCGGCACATCTAAACCACAATCAAATTTAAAAAAAAAAAAAAAAGAAAAGGGGAGGTGGGTCGGGGAGAGGAATGATAAAACCCTACTCAGTGTTCCCCTTCATTTTTTTGCCCTGGATACCCTGGCTGAACCACCCTCCCTCCAGCAGGGATTTCCTGAACAACTTGCCGTATAAGGGGTATATATTTCTATCTGCAACAGTCTTTAAACACATGCAAATGAAATCAAGGATACAGTCAATTCTGCAGGAAAGTCGCCCCGTGCTACTAATTGCTCCTTTGGCGGCTGCCTGCGAGACGGGCCCTGGTTAACACGCGAGACACGCCTGCACCCTCCAGCCCTCACCTTGCTTCCCGCAGCTTGGCGGAGGGCCATCGGGTCACCGCAGTGAGACCGGACTGGTTTTCGGTTTTAGGCTGGGGGAGCGTTCTGGAGCACGCAGGGCGCTACTGTTTCATTAGGCTTAGCAGCAGCCCCTGCTGCTATCAGTTAGCTCGAACTGATACCGCATCACATGACAACCAATGGCTGATGGATTTAAAAAAAAAAACAACCCAAAAACCAAAACAAAACCCCCCAAAAACCCAATGCTAAAACTGCAACTTATTTCAAAATGAAATAGGGAAATAAATGCGTACAATAGCCCGTGTATCTGCTGGTTCTGATAAGCATCCTCCTGTTGGCTGTGAGTGAAAGACAACTAGGATCGTTATTTGTACAGTATTTATCTTTGAAATCAAGGGCCCTGTGGTGTACCTCACCTTGGGAACAAACACTACAGAACGATCACAGAAGAGTGTCAAATCTCTGGTTTTGATTTACCAACAGTTATGATATTTCTTCCTCAGGAGGAAAAGAAATGAACCATGTTTTAGACCTGCGAGTCCTTTTTTCTCCCTTAACTGTAGAATCATTTTATTGGCATACAGGGCTTTCATTCCACATGTAACTTCTCTTTGCTTTTTCTAACAGGTCTTTTTACTGAGGTAAGTGAAATTAAGCAATGCTCAATTGATACACGGGCTGTATTTCACTTGTAAACAAGAGCTTTTCTCTTGAGGGGACTGTTGAAAGAGCTTCACAGATTATACAAGTACCAGAAAGAAACTTGAAACATCTACCTGTTATCTTTTCATTAAGTAATGAATTCTGATAAATGGCAATATAATTTAAGGACGGATGCTCCACAGGAGACTTAGAAGGCTACGGTATCATTTTATGAAGCAATGCTCACTTCCTAACAGTGCCAATATGCTGCTCGGGGACATTCATTTCTGCCTTCGTTCTGGGTTAAATATCACTCCGAACAATAAGACTTTGTCTGGACACTGCAGAATTTGGATAATGAGAAAATTTACACAAGCTGATGGGTTTAAGAAAGCCACATGAAATACTTCTGTTGAAAGGTTTCAATGGGGGGGGAAAAAAAAAAAAAAAAAAAAAAAAGATTGATGATGAGTGAGTGATAAAAGAACTAGAACTGTTGGAGCTGGGAGTAGATGGAGCCGCTTCGGGTCCAGCCTGGGCTGGCAATGGTTTTCAGGTTACTCCTACCTATCGATTGTCCCGAGTATCTCCTCCAGGTGAACCGGTGGACTTGGTCTACTTATTGAAACATGTCCGAAATACCACATAAAAACCAACCTTGCCTCTATCCACGCCGTGTGACTTGAGGGCTGCATTTTCTACACACGGTCACATCAAGCACTCTGTAAGAGATCTTCCTGAAACCAACAGGTCTAATCTGGAACTGGGGACTAGCACAGGAAGCAAAGGTGGCATAATCTGACCTTATGTGACTACACACGTTATTCCAATACCTAAGACTACCACAGCACCTTTCCCTTGAATTAAGTGCAACAAAAATCAGAATTGTTTTAAAGGTCTCAATGCTATAGTATGGCATATGAATAAGAATGAGCTGGCAAGTATGGCGAGATTAGCATTTATTTCACTTAAGTGAACAACAGGATGAATTACAAGAAATGAGGCCACCCTTCATGGAAATTTATGACTAGCACCTACTTATTTTGTAATCCTCTTGTAATGAGAACCTTCTCATTACTGTACCATTCCTCACTTTTAACACATGTTCATGCTAGGACCAGCGCTGCTCCTACTGAATTCAGGAGGGTCTTGCCAGTGGAAGCAGAACTGGCCCATTCCGTTCTGAGAGCAAAAACCGATCTGTACCATCTAATGTCATCCAACAAACAGCCTCTGCCCGCTGTCACCCTTCCCTCCCTCACATAAAAATCCAGGGAACTGCCCCAGAAAGAATAGGTACGGATGAACGTTTTGGGACTAATTCTACCTATCTATCCTGAAGAATCCCATTTATTTACATGGACTAACTTCACGAGATCACCACTGTAAATGGGAGCAGAATTTGTCCCTTTGTGCATTTGAAGCACAAGCATTGCTTGGGCGGTTGGTCTTTGGTGGTCTTCCAACTGAACAGCCATAGTACTTGAGAAAAGATCAGTGCCCAAACCTTCAAGAACCTGGATGCACCCAAAGCACCTGTGTACCTGGTGATCTACCCAGGCAGAAAACTCTTTTGTGATGGGAACACTTTTTGCTCCAGCTCAGAAGGGCGAGGCCGATGGTTCAGCTGTGGAGCAGCCATGTGTAAGTTATCAGAGCTCTGCCGGTCCTTCCCTGCGCCGGGATGCACACGTTGCCACACACTAGTCCATAATGCACTGTTTATGCAACGTGTAAAACTGTGTTCTTTGGCAGCAAGGAAAAGGTCTGCAGCAAACTGCAGGGGCCCAATTAATATAATTATGGTTTATTTTTAGTAGTGTAGACTTTGTTCATTAGTTACTTATTTGACATAAATTAAATTTCACGTGATGTTCTGCAATTCTCTGTTCAATTATGGAGTTAATTTAAGACTAAGTTTCTACATTCAAGTGAAATCAAGGTTAAATCAAGGTTGTATTGTTTACATTATCAATACTGCAACATAAAAATTATTTAAATAAATAATAATAAAAAAAAAAAGGCTGCAGAACTGCAAACACTCTATTTTACAGTAATACACTGAGCAAGACCGTACTTTCCCCATGGGGCTAATTTACTATCCCCTGTTAAAACGTTCTTGAGCCTGATCCAAAAGCCACTGAAGTGAAAGGGAGCTCTCTGTTGACTTCAATGGGCTTTGCATCAGGCCCACGGCGAGTGACAGCACACAGAATTTCAGGGCATGCTTTCTGTACAACGCGAGTGCCAAAAAAACCATCCTTACTTTAGGAACGACTGGAAGTCTTCACATACTGCTTCACAGCCTGGCCATTTGCATACGCCGTGTCCATAGAGCGGATGGCTGTGCGAGTGCTCCTCGTGGGATAAACTGGAGGAGAGAAAGAGAGAAGAGGAAAAAGTGGCGTAACTGAAGGTACCGCGCCAATTGCTCTTCACAAAGACTCTTCGAGCAGCAAACAACAGATCCTGAAACATCCCTAACATCTCACGGTACCCACCTGACTCTGCCCATGGTTTTTCAAAACAGAATTAAATACCATTTGCAGTGCAAAACATGTGTCATTCTTACTTAGCTATCCTCCTACATTTCATTCATTAATTAAAAGCTTTGTAAAGAATTTAAATTAACATGGACGGGGGAGAAATCATTTGACAGACCTGCTTAATATCCTGCTTGATATTTTGCGAAGAAATTTATGAACATGCATATTTACAATTCAACTTAATCAGGAAGAAAAGTCATCTCCATGCAGCAGTGTATTCTTATAACACAATACAACCGGACCCGAGGCTTTCCTCATGGCTACAGAAAGAGGAAAAGCATCAAGCCTGCAGCCTTGGTTTTCCCACCATGGCATTTATTTACTGGGTTGGGTTTTTTTGTTTGGTTGCTTTTTTTGTGTTTTTTTTTTTTTTTCCTTCAGTTTGGGGTGGGTTTTTTCCCCCTCTCTTACAGGCTATTTCTCTGCACACGTACAGCCCCCTTATGTCCCAGTAAGGCAGATTCAGAATGTTATTTTCAAATTTTAAAAAAAGGAATCATGTAATCAAAGGATTCCTCAGTACGAGCAGTTAGTGGGGGCTATTAACCTTGCTGAGATTTGGCAGGAACGTCACAGAGTGTTCTAACTACTGAAAACAGGGTTAAAGAAAAAATTTCGCATGAGCATAAAGGGGTTAATCCTTCAGCGGGATTCCAATCAATACGTAATGATTTGGCTGCACTGATCCAAGTCATGAGACGCTTTGATCCAGGCCATGTGGTGCTCAGGGAAATGTATCTGTTGCACTAACTGATGAACCATATTCTAAAATATCTTCTTTATTCAACTTCTGCATGGAAACTTCTTAAGTAAAGGAATTATTTTTGCAACAATTTCCATAACCTTAGATGGCTTTAAAAATAAAATGTCAAAATAATATTGAAATCTCTATTTTATGCTCACACACGCATCTATTTTTCATAGCAAATCTTTTTGCTACAGTATGCCTCTGCTGTATTATGAACTTCAAACATACACAAAGGATATGAACACATACCAGCATCTAGGCGTGGCTTTTATGACTTATTTTATCCTGGATTACAGGTAACATTATGGATAAACGCCTACTTTTTGCCATTTAACTTTTATACACATGTGGAAATGCTGTTTATTCTTGTTCTGCAATATTATCTGACCGTGTACTACAACAAAATTGTGTTCTTGAATTATTTCTGATGCACTGGATAGCAGGATCACTGCAGACCATACCCCTGAGACGCTATCCCAAATGCAGAGAAGTCGCAGGAGAAAGTCTTGCCCAGAATCTGCCACTTCTGACTTACGCTCATCAAGAATCTGAATATAATTGAAGGTGGTTTTGTAATTTATTTTTCATTTTATTTTTTAATTTAAGAAAGGCACAGATCTGGCTGGAAAAGGTATTATGAGTTGTATATGAACTTAGAATTCATTATTTCATTAAAACCTTATTTTTGGCTGTTTACAAATAGTTCTTCAAGCATAAATATATATATACATGCTAGGTAATTTCCTAAAATAAAAAATAATAAATAAATGCTGTAGGTAAAGAGACTTACAAAGGCCTTTTCTATAAAGGAACATCACACTGGTTTAACTTGAGCAGTTTTTTTAAAAATGTGCGAGTGGGGAGAAACTCTATCAGTTAAGTTTTGAAAAGAACAAAGGGACCGATGCATTCCTTGCAAGGAAATTAGAAAAACACTACACCACACATTTCCTCAGCTGAGAAAGAGGGCGGGTGGCTGAAGGAACACCATCTACCCAGGCCAGACAGGCATATGGTCAAACGCCCTCCATACACATCGGAAAAGAGTAATTCAGAAAATAATGAGTTTTATCATCTGCTTCCATACCTGAATACAGCGAAGGGTGAGAAAGCAGGCTGTCATGTTAACACCCCATTAAAGTCCACGAAGACTACATATGAGAGCTACGATTCCAGAGTGTTTGGCAGGACCCAAAAAAATTCAGCGTATTAATTTACACGGCGCGCGTTACCCATACACCAGGATGACGGCAGGAACGCCGTGTGACGCCAAGTAAGGAGTCAGTCCCCTGTGGGTTTTAAGCACTGTAAATCTCATTATAATATCAACAGGAGTCACGTGGCTTAAACCCCCAGCAGGGTTTTTTAAAGTTTCTCTGTGAGAGCCTAAAGGCCATGGCCAAGCCAACGGAAAGAGCCCTACCGAGATTTCTATTTATTTTTTAAATCCAAGCGCAAATCTCTTTTCTTTCCAGGGAACTTGCACAAGACAAGACAAGCTATGTAGGACATGATACCCTGGTATTGTGTCCAAAGAAAATGATGGAAGGACCAAGAGACTTTCAAACTGTAAACGATGCTCAGGATGCCCAAGTCTAGCGCTGTCGATTCCCAGAAAGACCGGTGCTCAC